AAAAGATTTGCCCGTAAGTTAAATTTGTCGTGAGTTAATTTAGTTTTGCCAATTGTTTTCCCTCCGTTATCTGGTTGATGAGGTGTAAAAGAAAAAAGTGATGTGGGGGTTTTTAATTGGATTGAGATATTGCTGACGTGGTATACCGGTGATATCCTAGACTTTCTCTAGAATTAGAGGTGTTCGGTTTTAAACTCCAATAATCAAAACCCTCTCGATTGTCATTACCTATTTTCAAAAAAAAATCCTCTCGATTGAGGTTCAACTATAATAACCACTTGGTCAAAAAATATTCAAAACTGATGAAGTCATTAATTATGTTTCGGTTCGACGTTACATTTTTTTAATGTAAAATAATTTAAAAATAATTTTTTTATTTTTTTATATAATTTTATTATGTCATTTAAATAATTATTTTTAAAAAAAACTTAAAATATTAAATTTTTTTTACATTAACCTTTCGTTATCTCGTAACTACATTGAGTTTTAATTAATTCAAAATTGAATCAAGTTAAATTCTATCAATAAAAACTTTCTTAACATTTTTTTTATTTACAAAATTTAATCTTAAGATCTTATTTAAGATAAATCATATTACTTATATTTAAACAAATAAGTTTTATTATAAAATATTAAATATATCTATTTATTTAATAATAAATAAATATTATATAAAAATTTAATAAAAAAATTATCTTCACATCACCAATTTTTTTTCCTAAATTTTTCTAATCACGCCTGCTACGTGGTAATAATCCCTGCCATGTTATTGCCGATCACTTAAAATGTCTGTCTGGCGCCGGCAGATTGATAATGCTGTAAATGGACATTAGACAGGAAACTTCATCTTCCTCGAAGGTCAACAATCCTCCTCCACGTGTCTCATAATTTCATTGTTGCATCTGCCCGTATCTGATCTTTCTCTCCTTCCCCCATATCTACAGTTATTCTCTCGTTTCAGCGCCGCCGCATTTCTCATTCTCGTTGCCAGAGCTCCGTTTCTCTTCCTCACTCAAGCTCAAAGTCGAATCTGCAAACCCTAGAAGATGCAGTACAAGAGCCTCGGTCGATCTGGCTTGAAAGTCAGCCAGCTTTCCTATGGCTCGTGGGTGAGCTTTGGCAACCAGTTAGACGTGAAGGAGGCCAAGTCAATGCTGCAGTGCTGCAGGGATCACGGCGTTAACTTCTTCGACAACGCCGAGGTCTACGGCAATGGCCGCGCCGAGGAGATCATGGGCCAAGCCATCCGTGAGCTTGGCTGGAAGCGGTCCGATATTGTTGTCTCCACCAAGATCTTCTGGGGCGGTCCTGGTCCCAATGACAAGGGTTTGTCTAGGAAGCATATTGTGGAGGGGACCCAGGCGTCGTTGAGGCGGCTCGATATGGATTACGTTGATGTCATCTACTGTCACAGGTTGATTGATTGGAAGATAATTTACTGTTGATTTTCTTTTCTCTGTGATATATAAGTTTTGTCTGTCTTTCCTATTTATGTGAATTTCGTCTTATTGGATGATTGGATGAGTTCTTGATTTGTAGTGTTTTTCGATTTTTGAAGTTGGGATGAGGAAGAGGAATAGGTTTAACAGTAGGGGTTTCGGATTCAGTTTCATTGTGTCTTACTGATTTATCATCTGAAATGGCTTAAACTTGATTTTTGTGCTCCCCTGTTGATGGGGTTTGATTCTGCTATTGCCCCTACCTGGTTTGTGTTTGTCATAAAGGCTCTGCTGAATTTTGTGGTTCCAACAGTTTCCTTGTTGCTTATTTTGTGTTTGTATGTGTGGAAATGGGTACCTGTGTGCTCGGCATATGCACTTTTGCAATTTGAACTTATCTGAAATAATTGGTTCCAATTTTGGATCGGCATATGATAATAGTATCACTTAGTTCCCTTTTTTGGTAAGTACTTAATAAAATACAAGAAATGTACATGCTCAGGTTGCTAAAGTCTACTTGACTACTATATCCAATAATTCATCTTGAATACTTGTTCTGAAAAGCTTATCACTGTGATTTTTGTAACAGGCCAGACTCCTCTACACCAATTGAAGAGACAGTTAGGGCTATGAATTTTGTGATTGATAAGGGTTGGGCGTTTTATTGGGGAACCAGTGAGTGGTCTGCACAACAAATTACTGAAGCATGGGGAATAGCAGAGAGATTGGATTTGGTGGGGCCCATTGTGGAGCAGCCTGAGTATAATATGCTATCTAGACACAAGGTAATGACATTGAGAGTGGTTTTGAATTTTCCATCTGAAGTGCAGTTCAGTATATGAAAGTACTAAAATACTCTTAATGAATATTAGTTATTATAGGTATTTAAATGCTTATATAGCCCAAACTGTGCAGTTCAGACTGAAAAAGACATTTCTGAATGATTAATGTGAATAATAGATCGAAAAAGTGTTTTACAATCCAGACTGTTCTTGACAATAAGACATTATCTCTTAGATGGGGGGAGGGTCTCTTGATATTGGGGGCTCTCCTCCCATCTAAGGGTCCTTGTTTTACAGTCTAGAACAATCTGGATTCATAATAGATACATATAAAGATTAATTTTTTTTTTTTTAATAATTTTAGAGTAGTATTTTTTTGGTTAAAGATTAATGCTATCATGGATTTTCTTAAAAAATCTCTGTATTCTTAGTTCCTCACCACAAGATGTAAATTAGTTGTGATTATCCGCTAATAGATGCATTATGATCAACCTATGAAATTAATTAGTTAGATGGATGAGAGTTTTACAAGCCAAAATAGTGCTGACAATCTCCTGGTTTTAGTGTTGGGATTTATATTTAAGTGATTCTGTTCATCAAGTATATTGATTTCTATTGTCAAAAAAATGTACAATGGACCCATGACATGGTAAAGGTTTGTCTGTGATGAACCTGATAATTTGCCAGACAGTTGTGCTCTGGTCTGTTGAACAACAGTGCTGAAATACTCCTTGATGCTATTAAGTCATGATAATAAAGGCTTCTTATTGGCTCTTGATCTTCTTTTGATTCAATACTCTTATACAAAGTAAGATACTTGAGGAGGATAAAATAGATCATGTTGGTAGGGCTTTTAGGGATTCCTCCGCCTCCTTATCTAATACAATATTTTGACTTGCAATGCTTTGTGTCACTTCTGGTCCACGAGCTTCGTATGCTTCTTATGGTTATGTTAAAGGCTTTTTCAGGCATAGTTTATGAGGGATTTTCTTTTCTTATATGGCTCTGTAACTCATACTCTTAAGAATTAAGACCCTCTGGATTATTTCGTCAAGTATTATGTTCATGCAGGTTGAATCTGAGTTCCTCCCTCTGTACGCCAACCATGGCCTTGGTCTAACCACATGGAGTCCACTTGCTTCTGGAGTGCTTACGGGAAAGTACAACAAGGGGGTCATACCACCTGATAGCCGATTTGCATTGGAAAATTACAAAGTAAGACTTCTGAGTTAGCTTGTTTATGTAAAGTAGTGTGAAATCAGGTCTCTTAGGCAATACACCTTTGGTTAGAAAGCTTTTCTGGTATTAATTTTCCATAATATCATTTGTGTTAATTTCAATACTGTCATTCCTGTTCAGTACCAGAATTAGCTGAATCTTAAAATGTTCTTGATGCCTGCTCAACACAACCATATTTCAACTCCTCCACTTCCCCGCCCTTTTCCTTTTTACTTTCTCTTCCTCCCTCCACCCTTCCTCTCTTCGTATGTGAAATACTAAACTATTCTTTTTGACTTGTAGAATCTTGCTAGCAGGAGTCTGGTTGATGATGTGCTGCGGAAAGTAAATGTACTGAAGCCAATTGCAGATGAACTTGGTGTATCTTTGGCTCAACTCGCTATTGCATGGTGTGCCGCAAACCCTAACGTATCATCAGTTATCACTGGTGCTACAAAGGAATCTCAGGTTAGTTTTTAGTTGATCAGTTTCTTCAATGGTATATGTTAATCTTTCACTCTTTAGTGATATTTTTTAAGGATTACTCTGTATGGATAAATAATATCTGCATAATTTTGCTTGCCTAATGGATACATTATATAGAGCCTAGGTGGAAGTATAGAGGTCCTTGAAATTATGGAAGAGTTTGAAACCATAGATGTCCTCTTTGTGGGGAAAAAGAGATTATTGGTAAATTTTCTGTATTAGATAACAACAATATTTGAACATACAGAATGTCAAGGTGCATCGTCTTGTTAAACTGTCCACAGAACTGAAGGTGTAAATCAGTAAATGAACAGAGTAGATAGATGATCAAATTTTAAACTAGTGCTATTCTGGAGCATCATTTCTAGTGTTTGTAGGTTTTATAACATGCGAATGCCCCAACATATGGCACATGAATCACTTCCAAAATAGATGTTTGTCTAGTTCATAAAGAGGTTGCCTTAAGGTTGCAATTATTACTTGTGAATTATAATACAACACCACCTAATGATATTTTCCCACAATGCAGATTCAAGAAAACATGAAGTCAATTGATGTTATCCCACTATTAACTCCTACTGTGATGGAGAAGATTGAGGCCGTTGTACAAAGCAAGCCAAAACGCCCGGATTCTTATAGGTAGATGGGAGTAATCAAATCAGTTTCTTTGTGTTATTACCGACAGATTTCAGATTGCCATTGCGGTATGCTGAAAATCATGTGTATGCAGTTGCGTGTCTCACTTTTCCTCGTTAATAAGAAAAGTGAGATAAAAAATAGTAGATTTGTAATTGAAGTCACCGTGGATGGTGGAGGATTTGTAAACGAACATTGTTCATGTTTGTATTTCATTGGCTTTGGTTACCTTATCTTTCAGTGTTACTAGTTTATATAATGCTTTTTTATTTTAAAATAATTGTTATTTTTTTATTTTTTAAACACCTAAATAATTTAGAGATAATATTTATAATTATTTAAATGTCTTTGGAAAAGAAATACAAGATAAATTTTTTTTTTTTATAATTGAATGATTAATTTAAATGAATAAATAATTTATGGAAAAGAAATACAAGATAAATTTTTTTTTTTTATAATTGAATGATTAATTTAAATGAATAAATAATTTAAAGTTAAAATATAAAAAAAATATTTGTTTATTTTAAAAAATAAAAAATAATAATTAATTTAAAATAAATTTAAAAAAATTACAATTATTTTGAAAAAGAAAGTTTTTCACTTTCTGCCAAGTTGACGTACATAATAGGCGTAATACCCAATTTAGTACCTGAATTTGTGTGACAGGTATCAAATTAGTCTCTGAACTCCAAATGGTACGTATATGGTCCTTAAACTTTTTCTTGGTATTTGTTGGTTTCTCGACTGTAGAAATATAACTAGGCGCCTATGGTGATTTATAAATTTGTTTTATTTTTTAGTACATAAAAAAAATTAGTTAGTTGATATTGTAAGATTTAAATATTTGACATCAATTATAAATTAAATTCTTTAAATTTATTGTTGAGGGCTCCAAAATCTTTTAATTGTATACACATAGACCAATCATAATGTTAGGAGAGTAAGAAATAAAACTTATTGTTTGCATTTCTCATGAGTCATGACCAAATTGCTGGCCAATGGATCATAAACATACGTTGATGATTAAATGCACTAGGAAACAACCAAAAATTTAGTAATTTCATGATATCTATGTTACGATAAAATTTATAATAAACCGATGATATTATGTCATAAGTGTAATTATGTTCATAATAATTTAACATAATATATTATTTAAAATAACATTATATATAAAATTACACGGATTAGTGATTAAGAATATAATTACTTAATTATTAGTTTGTTATGTAATAAAATTTATTGATGATATTATGTGTCAACATTGTAATTATTCCTAATACAATGGAATTTGCATGATACCTTGAGCAAGAAGTTGCTAATTTTAATTAAGGATATGGTTGAGATTAAATATTTTCTTTTCTTATTCCATGAAAATAATCTATAATTAGTATGAAAACCGATCTTTACCTATTGCTAATGAAAGAAATTCAAAAGAGAACTTATAATAGAATCACTTTCTTTATTCATTTTGCATTTGGCATTATTTTCTTCAATTAGAGGAAAGATGGAACAAATACATCATGATTTTCAATGGAGATGTTGAGAGAGACGCTTTTAAGTACGAGATGTTTTACGTTAGTTTGCAGTTAGGCCCGCGTTATTTTAAGCAATGTCTGAACCTTTGAACTCCGACCCTCATGCAACGCCCTCTCTCCCAACCTCAAACAAACAAAACCCAAATTCATTCTCCATTTTCCTCTTTTCCATTCACCAAATTCAGAGCTCAAATCCATGCACAGATCAAAACCCTTGGACAAACCAAAAGGTACCGATTTCCTCTTTCTCATTTTCCAATCTGAAATTGGTTTTCTTTTTGATAAAGGGGTTTTATTTATTCATGGAGGAAATGGGAAAATAGCATTGCAATGTTGGTTGTTTTGAAATCTTTTATTAAGCTTTTGCATCCAATAATATGGAAATTTGAGGCATTTTTGCATGTGGATCTTTGGTTCATTTTCTTATGATTGTTTTGATTGATTCTTTTTTGTTTATTGAACAGATGTTAAGATTCCATCATTCAAGGTGAGGAACAAATTTCCTGTTGTGGACCTTAGACCGTTGCACTCTTTATTTCTTATGATGGGTGATGATGTTCTGCTAAGAAAAACTGATTTTTGAGATCTTTCCTTCCACAAAGTTATGGGAAACCTTTGTTTTGGGATTTGAGAGAAAAGTTTTGCTTATTTGGGTTCGTATATAGGGGCTTATGAAGAAATTATGCAGGTTATCTGATGGATAGATTATATAGCATCTAGCATTTTGCCATTTTTTGTATTAGATTTCGGTTTGTAAAAATAAGAGAGCTCAGTGCCTCGGAATCTTCTAGCTTTAGTATTTCTGCAAATTTTGGTGCTGCAAATCAAGTCAAGCTTAAATAAGTATTCGGTTTTTCAGAATCAAAGAAGAGTTACTTGGCAACCCTTCAAAGTTTTAGCGTGCAAAATAGGGAGGGAGAAAGAAGTGTATAGATTGTGGATGCATGTTAGTAAAAATGCGGGCAAAAGTTTCTCTATAGATTTAGATGATAACAAAGGAGTAAGGTTTGAAGGGATTGTTCATACGCAGGTCTGGGTTATTGTCAATTTGTTCTGATATCATGGCAAGTGATACTCCTGGTATTTTGGGCCAGCAGTTTCACCAGCATGCACCAGTTGTTGTGCCAATTGACAGAGGCAGTGGTCATCGGAATGTAACTGATATCTGTACACAGACAGGTGAGGAATTTTCGGCAGAGTTCTCCCGAGATCGTGGAGCTTTAAGAAGAAGACCAGTTACAACAGAGGTTGATCATGTCCAGGTTACAACAGATGTTTGTCATGTCCAGCCATGTGGAGCAGCATTTAATTATGTTCAGAACCAAGTGCAGCATGGGAGGAATGTATCTGATTGTGTTAATGGACAACAAATGGGTCAGATTTTTGAAGAAAATTATGCTGACCAAGTAAATCCTGGATTGACCAACAGTCCAATTTATGCAGTGGAGTCCCCTCAGTCGTACCTTCCTTATTGTGCAGGAGTAATGGAAGCTGCTTTATCTGGCAAAATGAAATTTCTATGTAGCTTTGGGGGCAGAATATTGCCCAGGCCAAGTGACGGAAAGCTCAGATATGTTGGTGGAGAGACACGCATTATATCCATACGGAAAAACTTAACTTGGGAAGAACTTGCAAGGAAGACTACAGCGATTTGTAACCACCCACATATAATCAAGTACCAGCTCCCTGGTGAGGATCTTGATGCGCTTGTATCTGTTTGTTCTAATGAGGATCTTCTCAACATGATTGAAGAATACCACGGGCTAGAAAGAAATGGGGGTTCTCAAAGGCTGCGTATATTTCTCATTTCTTTAGGTGACCCTGAGAGTCCACTTTCTTTAGAGGGAAGATCTCCACAGCAGACTGATACTGACTACCAGTATGTTTCTGCTGTTAATGGCATGCTGGATATGAGTCCTCAGAATTCTAGCAGTCAGAGTTTAGCAAGCCCAAGAACCCAGTTGGGAAACGCTTCAGATTATAGTCCTATTCATAAAGAAACTCCACCATCTACTATCGTTTTTGAGAACAAGGATTACAGTCCAAGGTCTACAAACTTTAAGGGGATCCTCTCAAATCCTTCTCCTCAGGTTTTAGCTAAACTTTATATTCCAAACAAATCATTTAATCAATCCCCTCCTCTGTCGCCTGTCCAAGTTCAACATGGAGATCCTAAGAATTCTCCTGTGCTTTTTTATGTGGATAGGCAACACGTAGATTGCAATGGAAACATTAATCCTTTTTTCACAGAAAAACATTTATGTGATAATTCCTACCATGTTGATGCCTCTAGATATCATGACAATCCTCTTCATGTTCCTCCTCCATTGATAAACTACCATCACCACAACCAGCATTTTTTAGAAACTGGCATGACTAATAAACCCTGTGAAATGCATTTTCACAGTCGCAGTCCCAGTGGAGATTGTGTGCCTTATCCACTACATGGTCATAGTAATCTAAAGTCTGAGATCTCCACTCTTAAGGAAAAGTCATTCTCTGACTCTCAGTTACAGGGGCTTGATGAGACATCTAGTTACCCTGTGGGAGGAGTTGTGATGCAGGTATCATGCAATAATGGAAGAGAAGAAAAATCACCCTCACTAGCATTGTCAAATTCCCCTAGAGAGTGGCCAGGGCAATGGCAAGATACAACTGATGGAAAATACCAAGTGGCCAAGCATGAGAATCAGCTCACCATAGGGATGGCAGACTGCAAGGGGAATTTTGAGCTCAATCAAATTGATGTAAATGATGCCTCTTCTGATCAAGACAAGAAACAACATGAAGGAGATACTAAAGTTATATCACATTATGACAGCAAGAAAGATAGGAATTTGCAGAACTTAAACTACCTTCCAAGCATTTCTCTGCCTGCACAAAATTTAGTGGGTTATGGAGACTCAACATTTAGTTTACCAGTCACTATTGGGCAAAGTTCTGCCGATAGTACGAGGGACCACTTCTATGGTTGCCAAAATACAGTGGAATCTGAGTTGGATATGAGGAACCAAAGTGCTAAAAGGGATGACCAGTGCACTAGAATTGATATTGTGAATGGTGATAAATTTGTCTATCAATCTGCAGAACAACCTCAGCAACTGGCTAACGAAGAAGCAAATGGATCAGGCTTTGTAAGTATAGCTTCACTTAATAGAGAATTATTTTATTATCTTATAAGAATAATCCTCTCATCTGAATCTTTATATCAGTCCATCGACAACACTTTAAGTAGATGGGAATTTCTCCATGGTGAAGAAGCTGTCAATTGCCTGGAACACAATGCTGCAGGGGTGGAGATCAGAGATCAATCTTACCACAGGTCGAAGTTTGAAGATGCTGTTGGCATCCAGTCTAAGCTCTCAGATGATTGTAATGCTATCAGAGTACTAGAGCCCATGCTTATTATTGAAGATGTAACTAACAGTCCACCTCCAGACATCCCATCATCTTCAACAGTGGTTCCAAATATTCATGATTTGACCAGTGATGAACTTCAGCCAACCAGGCAAGCAGAGGCAGGTGGCCTCGCTCTAGATTCTTCCTTTGAGGTAGCGTCTCCCCTCATTTCTTTTGATGTTTTGAGTATATAAAGATGTATTTCCTTGTAGATTTGAGCTAATACCTGTTTTATATAGGATTTGAAAAGTGATGATGGTCATGCAAAGGAATCTTTTGGGGAGGCTGCTATGGTTGAAATTGAAGCAGGCATTTATGGTTTACAGGTTCAATCTACTTTCTTATTTCCCTTGTGCATAGTTTAGTTTCTTTCTTACTGATGGAACTTGCTTATGACCATGCTTGAGGAATATACATAAATTAATGTTGGCCTCCAGTCTCGTGTTTCTATAGCTCAGGCCTGAAAGAAATTTCAGACAGGCAGGAAATAACTTGTTATTATCTGACAATGGCTTCCATTTCATAGTTCTACTTACTCTTCTAATTAAACTTTTAGTTTTTCTTTGATTATTAATTTAACTTTGAAGTAATTTAACTTAATATTGTATTGCCAATGTGCAGGTTGTAAAGAATGAAGATCTTGAAGAATTGAAAGAGTTAGGATCTGGCACATTTGGAACAGTTTATCATGGAAAGTGGAGGGGAACAGACGTTGCTATTAAGAGGATAAAAAAGATATGTTTTTCAGGGAAATCTTCAGAGCAAGAGCGGTTGGTACGTCTTCAAAATGATTTGATTTTTTTTCATGTTCCTTTACATCAATTCTAATTCTGCCAATCATATTTCTTTCATATCTATTCCATTAAATTCCTAGATATATAGAACAGTTTATGGGCTAAAATGAAGACCAAGAATGATTGTTATAATTCTTAATTCCCTGAAAACATTTTTCTTTTTTCCTTTTTTTTGAGAGAACTTTAATGGAGTATTGAATGCTGGCTGACTATACAGATTAATGAATTCTGGAGAGAGGCACGAATTCTGTCGAATCTTCACCATCCTAATGTTGTGGCGTTTTATGGGGTAGTCCCTGATGGGCCTGAAGGAACAATGGCAACAGTAACTGAATACATGGTGAATGGATCATTGAGGAATGTGCTAGCAAGTAGAGATAGGTAAGTTAGCCAAAGTGCCTTCTATTCCCATGGCTTCCTTTGACAAGAAACAAACTAATGGAGTCTTCAGAATTCTTCCTGCAGGGCAATTGATGGTCGTAAAAAGCTTTTAATTGCAATGGATGCAGCTTTTGGCATGGAATATTTGCATTTGAAGAATATTGTTCATTTTGATTTGAAGTGCGACAATTTGCTGGTCAATTTGAGGGATCCTCAGAGACCCATATGCAAGGTAATTAGTAGCAGGATGCAAATTCTATCGAGACATCCTAAATTTTCTACATATGTTCTTTAAGTTGCTAGTAATTAGGACTAAAACTGTTTAAAGAAATACCTCATTCAATATTCTTATATTCAAGCACAGTAGCATTCACCTTTCAGGTTGGAGATTTTGGATTGTCAAGAATTAAACGCAACACACTCGTATCTGGTGGTGTCCGTGGAACTCTTCCATGGATGGCACCAGAATTGTTGAATGGTAGCAGTAGCCGTGTATCTGAGAAGGTTAGGACTATAGGAAAGAGAACACATATATTATCACACACTTCACATATATAACAATAGAGTGGATACAAAGATCTTGAAGACTGAAATGCAATCCTCATTATAGCAATCATTTTCTTTTTCAGGTTGATGTTTTCTCATTTGGTGTTGCATTGTGGGAGATCCTGACCGGCGAAGAGCCATATGCTAGCATGCATTGTGGTGCTATAATCGGTATGTTGTTCCAAATGGTTTCTTAACTTATGATATTTTCCCTTAACCCAATTCTTGTTGCATATATTATAGCCAGGTTCCTGTTTCTTCCATAATATTGTGCTCATTTTATTGGATACCACTGTTGAAAATTAAAAATGCATGTTGCTGCTGTGAACTCTGTTTGCAGGTGGAATAGTGAGTAACACACTCAGGCCACCTATACCAGAACGTTGCGATCCTGAGTGGAGAAAACTGATGGAAGAGTGCTGGTCCTTTGATCCAGCAGGCAGGCCATCATTTACAGAGATAGCTAACAGGCTGCGTGTAATGTCAGCAGCATTACAGCCAAAGCGGCGTAATGCAATTAGATGAAACAAAACCTGCCCATGTACCATGTAAGTATGTAACATACGTATTCACACACGTTAGCGTAGAGTAAAGAAAATTTGTGCATTTATGAGATGAGTTTTTCTGACTAATGTCACTGTGGCTACTGGTGCAGAGACCAATCTCTCCCAGATTGAGATAAAATGTAGACATATCCGTTATGTTCTTTGTAAATTATGGAATCCATCAATGTTTTATTTATTTTTTCTACTACTGTAATTGGTTACCACTTAGTTGTTACATTTTCTTTCATTTTAAAATAAATATTTAAAAAAAAATTTTGTTTCAAATTAATTGTGATATTTTATTTTTTAAAATAAATAAATATTTTTTTCTCTTTTAATCATATTATTATTTATTTATTTTTAATTGATCATGTTATAAGATTTTTTTATTTTTATTTTTTTTAAATAATATAAATAAATATATAAAATATCCTTAGATTCTTAATTAAAAAAATAATAATTATTTTAAAATAGAGAAAGATGCATACATTGTGCATGACATTGGAGTTCCTCTTTCTTTTCCATTGACATTTGCGCTTGGTCCTTTCACTGAACATATTCAACAATCCGTCAACTCTGGCACCAAGCCATGTCTGCCACTTTCTCTAGCGTTCAATCCTGTTTGCTCCACCCTCTCATTTGTTCTCTTCATTCCCTTTTTTCATTAATAGGAATTTTAGGAAATACTAAAAAAAATGCAATTGAAAGCTAGTTTTTGACACATGTTTATCGGGTGGTATTATTGCCACAGCTTCACACGTTAACACCACAGCTTTTTTAATTAATTGACCATTAACCCACGCGGAGAAGGTGGTGAGTGGTGACTGCTGCAAGTTGGATTCAAATGAGGGGTATAATAGTCAAATAATTAAAAAAAGCTGTGGTATTAACAGTAGTGGCTGTGGCAATAACACCACCCATGTTTATCTTGTGGTATATATCTGCTTTGCTGGCGCCTAGCATTTTGGTATTAATGGTGCGTGCCCCCAATGATTTGTCCTTGTTAATATATATATATATATCTATATATATCTATATATCTGCTTAGCTGGTGTTTGACTCTAAATGATTGTTTTCCAAATTCCAACCCAATTCAATTGAGATTTTGGTGATATGCTTTTTGAGAAAACTGGAAATGGGAACTTGGTATTTAAATGTTAGAGTTGCTTGTAGAAGTGTTCATATATTTAAATAAATGATTTTTGCATATTGATTTATTAAAGATGTTTGAATTTTTTAATATCATTCTTTAGTTCTAATTGTTTGAATGTATTAATTTTTTTAATTTTATTATTATTATTATTTGTTTTAGAAAGGACAATGGAAAAATGCCAAGGGTGATCAATTTTTTATATATAGCGATAATTTTTTTAAAATCTAGTAAATCTTTTTTTTTATTTGACAATACTATAGTTATAGAATTATTCTTTTTATTTTAAAATAATTTTCATTTTTTGACTTTTTCGTCAAATTAAAAATTTTAAACGATTCATATATTTATCTATATTATTCTTAAGAAAAGGTTAAAAGATAAAGTTACATCTTTTGTTATAGGATTGTTTACATCATAAATTGTATTTTTAGTAATGCCACGCGTTAATGGATAAAATGAGATCAAATCTACTAAAAGGATGCATATCTGTAAAAATTGGTTGGGTGGATAAAGGTTATCCAATTTATTGCAGCTTGAATTTAAAAGAAACAGAAATTTCTAGAATTTGGGAAGAAGTTGAGTTGAGGAGTGATTCGTGATCTGAACAGTTAGCAATGAAGCAGAGGGACGATTCACAAGAAGTGTATAAATAGAAACTTTCTTATTTGTCAACACATGGCCAGCCCTATACAAAAGTCAGCAAATTTTCAATTTTCTAATTTTGTAGTGATTGCTTACCTTACCTTAGCTTTCATATTTAAGTTTTAGCACAGATCCCAATAGATTTAAGTTGTTTTCATTATTCAAGTACTTAAATTAGTTTATGTAATTGCTTCTTTGATTTCCTTTCACGCAATAAACATCAAGTTTATTTTAATATGCATCTCATTTAGTTCATTTTGGATCTATTAACTTAAATTCACGGTAGTGGTAAAGTTTTTGAGATTGTTCAAGGTAGATTAGCAACCCATTATGCAAGAAGGCATTCCTCCTTCTTGCAAATCGTCTGAAGGGTGTAAAACTCAATCTTAAACCAACGTTTTTCTAGCCATCCTAACAGAGGTTGACCGCGTGGAAGGAGAAGGTTGTTGGGAAAATCTTTTTTTTTTTTTCTTACTTTTCAGCAAAGTAAGTGGCACGCCTGCATCCAAATTCCGCACGTGCGAAGCCACTTAAGGATTTTTGAGGAAACAATCCTTTTGTGGCATGCCCAGTGGGACCCCATCGTGTCTCACTCATAGTTTCTAGATCTAGTTTTTCTAAATCCAAAAAGAGGTGTTGCTATGCCACCACCATTATCACCAATACTTGGGGAGCATTCTTTTGTCAATCCAACCTTCAACAAGGATAGTGAATATGGAGATGATGTTGCTCAATCTGGTGACTCCCTTATGAAGGTTATGTTGGAATCTGAGGAAAGAGATCAACAAAGAAGCCAAGAGATCGCTAGACAATTGGATGAGTCTTTTCAGAATCTGGTTCAGAATTTAGCCCAAAGTTTAGTAGACATGTGGCATTCTAATGAAAAAAGGGCAAGAGTTTGGCGAGAGCAAAATGCAAAAAATTGGAGAGCATTTCAAGTTGAAATAGAGCGAATGGAGGAAGCATTTTGACGTGCCAAAATTGAAGCTCAACCACAAGCAACAGATCTTCAAAGATAGAATCAAAATATTTTGGCTCCAATGCTCAGGGGGCAAGTTAATCAACCACATCTATCTCCACAAAACCAACTGGTAGTTGGTGGGCCAGTGCAGCCAGAACTAGTCGAGGTTGCACCATGTGTGGCAAATCTAGAAAATCAACAACAACTACAAGAAAAGATCGACAAAGGGATTTTGTAGTTTCTAGAAAAGGTTAAGGAAACAATGGGAGTTGATGCAGACCCATTCCCTGACTTGTCTGTTGGAGTGAACGTGACAGATATCTAAAGCCTTATCAAGGACAAAAATCGATCATACTCCAAGCGCAGAATTGTAGTTGATGACTTGAGATGGGTCATTAAGAAGGCCAAAACTTGCAAAGATTAGGTCAGATCAAATGCTCCATGAGGAAGAAAGCAAGAGGGGCATGATCTGAAGCAACGAAAAATTGATCCAAGTTAGAACTTTGGCAATGAAGAACAACCTAAGATGGTGAAACCACCGCTCAGATCTGCTAGCTAGAAATGGGAACGAGTGGTTCATCCAAAGTTTCTTAAGACTCAAAAACCTAGAACTTTGAGGCAATGCTTACAATGTAAGAGAGCAAAAGAGAGACGCCAACAACAAATGGAGAACTAGGGGGGCATGTCAGATCTGGCTTAGTCTCTCCCAACAATAATGAAATCAGTCTGGGTCCCGAAAGACAAAAGCAAGACATCAACTCAGACATTGCCAGAAGATGAACAACAACACAGAAATCCAACCTCTCCCCAAGTTCTGACTGTGGAGATGAGTGAGGAAACTAGCTTGAAAGCAACATTCAAGGTGGCAGAAAAAGTAGAAAATTCAACAAAGCAAGAAACAATCCAATTTGGTGATTTTTTTTTGTGAATTTGTCTTGTTTGGTGCTTACCCTTCCTCTGGTCTTCCAAGCCAAAGGAGAACCAAAATCTACAGATTATTAGCAGGTAGATTAGGCTGAGGGAGGAGTTATTGAGATTCTAGCGAAGGAGGATGAAAATGAGATTTCATTAGACAAAATTATTTTTGAGAAGCCAGAAGAGAGGATGGCCAGACATATAAGGCCATTATGCATTCATGTTCACATGGATGGGATACCAATTAATCGAGTTTTGGTAGACAATGGTCCTGCTGTCAATGTGTTGTTAGCTTTTATGTTACACAGAATCAGTAGATCTTTGAAAGATCTAATGGAGATAGAAGTGACAATCAATGACTTCACGGGTGGAGTAAATCACTCTAGGGGAATTCCACCAGTAGAGCTCATTGTGGGAACAGAACTCTCATGTGTGAGTTCTTTGTGGTTGACACTGTAGCCATTTATAATGCATTACTTGGGAGAGATTGGATCCATTCTAACTGGTGTGTTCCTTCAACTTTGCACTATAAATTGATATTCTAGAATGGTGGCAAAACTGAGGTTGTGAAAGCTGATGACAAACCTTTTGTGGCTAACACCAATGCAGTGGAAGTTCATTACTATGAGTCTATGACGAAGAAATCAAAACCATTCGCTTCTTTGGGATGGACCGTAATGGTAGACCAGTATGAATTACTACTAGTACCAAATTAGCACTTACTAGACGCATAGTGAATGAGGTTTGCAATGAACTCTTTCAGCCTAAAGCAACCATTCCTTTTAGGCTGAGGGAGAAGCTAGAAACTGAAGAAATTCCATGAAGAGACAACGAATCAATCGCCAGAAAAAGGAGACCATAGAAGAAACAAAAAAAAATTATAAAAAAAATTATCGGTCTATCGTGTAGAAAAACGGATTAGTGTAGATAGATCTGAGGTGGTCCATGAAGGTGAAGAAGAAGATCTAACAGAAGAGGTTACTCTGGAGGAGTTAGATCTAGTTCCAGCCAAACTTGATGATATGAAAGCAAAACTACAAGATCCGTTGGAGGAGGTAAATCTAGATATTTAGCATTTTGGCCAAGTTAGATTTTGGTGAAATTGCATAGTATTTTCTTTTTCCAATTTAGCATTTTTTAAGTTTTAATAAAAGTGCTTATCTAAATTTGTAAGTTGGCCAGATTTGGCCGTGAGCAATCATAATGACTAAATTATAGCTGTGTCAAATTTCAACCTGCTCTAGATCAAGTATGCAACAAAGGCTGTGAGAGAGGAAAATTGATATTTGATTTTGGAAACCACGTTCAAGTCTACCTCCATATCTGCTAGAAGGTTTTTATGCTGTTCTACCAAGCTCTTTTCTGTCTGTTTTTTAAGGAGAATTTATTTGTTTGGTTTTGCGAGCTTGGTTTCAAGGTTTGAGATTTTTTCTTTTAGACCTTGGAGTTGTTTAACATGTGGCATTGGTGGCTAGAGTCTGCATGCAATTTATTTAATTATAAACACTTGAATTTATTTCAATAAAATCAAGTGTTGGGGGGTATTATTTATACCATAAATTGCTTTTTTAGTAATGCCACGTGTTAATGGATAAAGTAAGATCAAATCTATTGAAAGAATGCACATTTGTAAAAATTGGTTGGGAGGGTAAAGATTATCTAGTTTGTTGTAGCTTGAATTTAAAAGAAACATAAATCCCTAGAATTTGGGAGGAAGTTCAGTTGAGGAGTGATTCGTGATCTGAATAGTTAGCAATGGAGCAGAGAAACGGTTCACAAGAAGTGTATAAATAGAAGCTTTTTTATTTTTCAAGACAAAGCCAGCCCTACACAAAACTCATCAAATTTTCAATTCTCTATTTTCGGAGTGATTGCTTACCTTAGCTTTCATATTTCAGTTTTAGCACAAATCTTAGTAGATTTAAGTTGTTTTCAACATTCAAATACCCAAATTAGTTTATGTAATTGCTTCTTTGATTTCCTTTCACATAATAAACATCAAATTTATTTTCATTTGCATCTCATTCAGTTCTTTTTGGATCTATTAACTTAAATTCACGATAGTGGTAAAGTCCTTGAGATTGTCCAAGACATATTAGCAACCCATTATGCAGGAAGGCATCTCTCCCTCTTACAAATCGTTTGAAAGGTGCAAAACTCAATCTTAAACCAACGTTTTTCCAACCATCCTAACGAAGGTCAACCGCGTGGAAGGAAAGGGTCGTTGGAAAAATCTTTTTTTTTTCTTGCTTTTCAAAAAAGTAAATGACATGCTTCCATCCATATTTCACACTTGCGAAGCCACTTGAGGATTTTTGAGGAAACAAAGATAATCAATTAAAATAAATAAATAATGATAGGGTTAAATTAGAAAAAAAAAATCTATTGACCTTAAAAAATAAAAAATGGCAATTAATTTATAATAAACTCAAAATAAATAAATAAAAAGACAGTTATTTTGGAATAGAGTGAGTATATGTTTATAATCATGACATGATATTAATTGAATATGATATGGTATTAAATGAGTGGACACATATAATATTACAGATAAACTTATAAATGAGAAAAAATCAATTATATAATCACATATTATATTATAATCTTATAATGTCACATGAAATTATAATTATAGTATTTTGATCTTTTATTAGAAGTTGGCAAAAATGAGATAATTCTTAAGGTCCATTCGCCACTGAGGATAGAAGAAGAATTTATGAATGTTTGTGAAAACAAAAAAAATTATACACACTCTATTTGACATTTTTTTCGGTTTAGTTGTTAAAAATAAAATATAAATATAATCAATTTAGTTAGTTCTTATATTTTGTATGCATGGAGTTACATATTTTAAGTCTGTCTGTTTTAATTTTAGATAAAAAAAATTATAATTTTTTTTAATAAATATATTATATAATGTATTAAATTAGAGTATATCTCAATTAGTGTCCCATGGCTATCCCTATGAAGCCATAAATAAAACTTTTGCATATAAAATTCTAAATTTGGTAAATTTTATCAATCTTAAAAATTAATTATAGTAACTTTTATGATACAACATATCTAAAAGTTTCACTCAATCAATGTTTTACAAAAACTCGACTAATCCAACAAAATCTCAAAGGATTAGTAGAAAGTGGTTGACTTTGAAATGAATTATCTTTTAACATCCCATTCCAATCCGCCATTTTTCTCATAGGACAATGATTGGT